TCAGAATTGACTCAACAGTAGCATCATTAACAACAACAACAATGATCCTGGCTGTGGCCTGGGGCTTGACTCAGACGGAATACACAGTAGGTGCTCACATCTATGTCGGAATGCCCTCTGTTTGATTTTGACTCCACATCTCTTTCTGTGCCAAGGCTACCAGAAAACAATTCACTGTCAAGACGATTCTAAAAGAGTGCAATGGCTCACAGGGTTTCCAAGACTGCATGTCTTTACAGAAGCAGATTGCCACATCTTTTCTCTCTTGGGGTGGCTGATGGGTTTAAACTGCTGATCTTTTGGTTGGCCACTGAGTGCTTAACTACTGAGCCACCAGGGCCCCTCCTCCTACTATCCTTCCCCCAATAAAATAACAAACGAAACCCATGGACATCAAATCAGTTCTGACTCGTTGTTATTGTAAAGTGTCTTGGAGTGGGTTCCGACTCATAGTGATCCTGTAGAGGACTTCTAAGGAATGATTGGTAAGTTTGAACCACACTGGCCTTGCCATTAGTAGTCTAGTGATTATCCTATAATGCCATACTGGGACTCCTTTTGACTCACTGTTGTTGCTACTGAGTGCTGTTGAGCCAGTTCCAACTCATAGCAACCCTGTATAGGTTTCCAAGGAGTGGTTGGTACATTTGAACTGCTGACCTTGTGGTTAGCAGTCCAGTGCTTATCCTACAGTGCCACACTAGGATCCAGTTTGATTCATGTTGTTGTTGTTGTTGTTAAAGTGCTGTAGAGTCAATTCTGATTAATAGCAACACTGTATAGGGTTTCCACGTGGCTTTGAATCACCATCCTTGTGGCTAGCAGTCTGGTGCTTATCCTACAGCAGGACCCTAAATAGGTTTTCTGAGACTGAAAAACTGTACAGGAGCACACAGCCTCATCTTTCTCCCCCAGAGTGGCTGGTGGGTTTGAACCACTGATCTTTCAGCTAGCTGCGGAGCCACTGAAAGTTCCTTATTATCCAAACAAAGAAACTAAACCCACCACCATCAATTGAATTCTGACTCACAATGACTCTATATAGGGTTTCTGAAACTGTAAATCTATATGGGAGCTGGTGGATTCATCTTTCTCCCTCAGAATGGCTGGTGTCTACCTTAGAGACATTCAAAACTGGAGTAGGTATTTGTAGTTGTTGCAGGAGGGGGTGGGGGGGATACCAAAACAAAACCAGAGAGCATCACCCCTGGGTATTTGAATAACATTGCCTCCTATTTTCTGAACCTTTACGCATAGAATGCTCGATCTTCCTTCCCAGCTACCCTCAATGTGGCCAGGGCGGATATAAATGTCAGAGTTCCACAAAGGGAAAGGTTGAGGCCCACAAAGGTTAAGTGTGTTTCCTGAAGTTCATTAAGTAGTAAGTGTGGGGAGAGAGCTTGGATGGAGCTCCAGAAAGGACAAGTGGATGTGTGTGAATGCCAGCCTCCATCTCCCTAAGTTATCCAGGGGTCCTGGCTGTCACTGTTCATTCTGATTCATCACCTGACGAGCTCACCTTTTGCTCAGTCTGTTCTTGTCTCCACCCCAGACCCTGACTGACCCTCTGCATGTGGCCTCTCCTCCCGACTCTGGGGTTGGTCTTCCTCTCCTGTCTGGACTGCAAGCAGCAGCAATTCAAGGACAGAATTAATATGCCTGCTCCATCCTGCTCCACCATGGTGTGGGTGACTGTGGCTTAATGACAATCAGACATGGGTGAACGCCGTAGGTCTGTGCCGAGGCGGGGGAGAAGAGCCTAATCTGGGGTCACCTGAGCCCCGACTTATCCAAGCAGGTATAGGAGCCAAGCTGGGGACAAAGCCTCCCATGCCCATGGGAGATGCCCCAACACTCACATCAATGAGCATTCTCCACCCAAGGTATCCTGGAGGGGCCAGGCGGGCAGGTGCCTACTGGAAACTACAAGGCAGTTAGGGTCAGGGCCTGCAAAGGGCATGCAAATTGCTGGCTGACTCCAGCAAGTTCCGGTGGTTTTCTTGGGGGCATTGACAATCTTATTAGAAAGTTATAACAGTAAAACCTACGAGAGTCATAAAAGTGTCAGAGAAGGAAAACACAGTATCTTCAGTGAATAGAGAAGGACTTAAGTGCAATGAGATGGAAAACCTGCGATCCTCAGAACAAGGCCTCCCTGCCAGGTTCTGCCTCTCACAGGGTCCATGGTACGAAGTGTGAGGGAAGCTGGGTACCCCCTTCCTGAGCACAGACATGTGTGAGGACAAGCTGCTTTTCAGAAACCTCACAGCAGAATGGATCGCCTGATTCAAGCCAGGAGCAACAGACATTCCCACCAGGAGTGCCTGGACCTGCTGGGTGCACTGGGCTTTGTGCACCCCTCTTCCTCTTCCATGTCACACACTCAGGGGGGCAGATGACTTAGCTCTGACAGCTGTAAGCCTGGTCTGTCTTATGACTTTTAGTTTTGTTCCCCTATCACCCTCAGACCCAAAGAACTAGATGGTGCCCGGCTGCCACTGCTGTCTGCTCTGAAGGGGATGGCGTTAGAACGTACTGGGTAGAGTGGGAGAACAAGGTGGAACAAAACTCAAAATCACACACTCACAAAAAAAGATCAGGTTTACTGGTCTGATAGAGACTGGGACTCCTTTAGATACTCTTAAGGTTTAGAAGTGAACTTACCCACCTCTACCCCCACCAGCTTAAATGTAAGCCAAAACACAGACAGACCCATAGGGTGAACACTCAGACCAGGGAGGGGCACACTCTTTAGAACAATCACCCATATGAAATCCAAAGGGCAGCATTTACCCAGAGAAGATGCTCCTCCTGGGACAGGAAAGGAGGAATGGAAACAGAAACACAGGGAGGAAATGGGAAGAGCTCTGTTACATCCTGAGGGTTGCAGCTAGGGGCTTAACCCACTGCACCATCAGGCCTCCCTAATCATCGGAAGTGTTTCCAAATTTACTGTCATTTTATTAAATGCATTAAACCAGACGCTCCTGGCGTAGGTTTTCGACAATCTTTGTTTTCCAGCAAGCGATCCTGAAATACTTGCTCAGTGGCCCAGCGGGTTCTCCTTGGCCATCCCAGACTTTAAATATTCCTGCTGTTTACTGGGGAAGCGTTGCCGACTCCAGTTAATTTATAAAAGAGGATTTATGGGCTCTCTGATGACAACAGGCAGCCAATCAATAAGGGATGATAATAACAGCGTGTAATATCAAGGAACATTAGGTCGCAGGCCTGATTTGAGGAGAAAAGTGGGCAGTTAGAAACCTATCATTTGAGAAAGGTCAGGGCCAGCTAGCAATGAAAATAGCTGAGCAAATAAAAATCACACCTGCGAACCATCATGGGTACACGCTGGCAGTGCATGAGAAGGGGGTTTTGATCTGGTGGAAAAATGACTTTCCCAGACAAGGATTGGGACAGCCACAGGGCCCCTGGGGTCACGTCTAGAAAAGTCTGTTATTCCCACATGCAACAATCATGCTAGGCCTGTGAGGCTCAAAGGTTCAACTCTTCTAGGGGCCCCAGACTCAGCCCCCATGAGCACAATGGAAGAAGAAGATGAGGGAGAAATCTTCAAGGTAATGGAGTTGGGGCTTGGCACATTTACTGAAGACCCACTGCTTTTATGACATTCTTCTTGGTCATTTGTTTATAGGGAAGGGAAGCTTTTACTGATCTAGCTTGCTTTCAGTTATTGAAAAAAGCAAGCAAACCAACAAAACCCCCAAACATCACATTGCAAATTCTAGCACCAACAACGCAACTGCAGTATGGAAACCGTGCTTGAATCATCATTGTCTGTGGAGATCATTCACCACACCAGGGAGGTGGCCCCAGCAAGCTTTGCAGTGGAACATACAATAATTCCAGGTGGAACCATCCCAAGGACACAGAACTTGTCAACAAGAGGATATATTTGTTGTTGTTAAGTACCTTCGAATCGGTTCTGACCCATATAGGGTTTCCGAGGAGTGACTGGTGAGTTTGAACCACCAAACTTGCAGTTCAACCTGACCTTATGGTTGAGTACTTACCTTACAGTGCCATGCCAGGACTCATTTAGGTACTTCCTTTTCTTAAAACCTACCGCTGTTGAGGTCTTTCTGACTCTTGGCAGCCCTAGGTTGTGGTTGTTAAGTGCTATCGAGTCAGTTCTGACTCATGCTGAATAGGGTTTCTGAGGAGCTGCTGGTGGGTTTGAACTGATTTTATGGTTCAGAGTCCTGCACTGATCCTACAGTGTCACAAGTCTGGAGCGACCCTATGTTATTGTTGTTAAGTGCCATCCAGTCGATTCCGGCCCATAGCGGCCCTGTCTAGGGTTTCTGAGGAGCAGCTGGTGAGCTGGAACCATGGACACCCTACACAGGGTCGCTATGGGTCGGAATTGACTCAACTGCACTTAACAACAACACAGGGTCTGGTAGTGTAGTGATTACGAATTGGGCTGCTAACCTCAAGGTCAGCAGTTCGAAATTACCAGCTGTTCCGTGGGAGAAAGGTGAGGCTTTCTGCTCCTGTAAAGATTTGCAGCCTCAGAAACCCTGTAACCCTGTACAAGGTCACTATGAGTCGGAACCAACTCCACAGTACTTAACAACATAGGGTCTATGTGCCAGGCTGCAAAGCCGTTTGAACTGCAAGGTTGGCAGTTAGGGTTAGTACCCTCTAGATATATCCCTATGCAGTTAATTCCAACTCATAGCAACCCTGTCTAGGGTCTTTCTCCCTCAGAGTGGTTGGTGGATTTGAACCACCAACCTTTTAACTAGCAGTCCGATGATATACCCACAGTACCACCAGCAGCTAGGGCCTTCCTTGTTTCCCTTCTAGACTATCGCTATGGTTCGGGAATACAATGAGAGCATGTAAAACATGTAGTGATGCTCTGCCGAGAATGGACCACTCTGCTTTAATTTCTAACCATCACCTTCCGTACACCCTGCTCTCCAGCAGAGAATGTGGAGGCCCCCACCAGCCCTGTGAGGAAGCCAGCTTACCTCCCTGTAAGGTATACTCGGTCACAGCTCTGCTGAACACACCCAGGCCAGCACCATTGTAAGCTGCCACCTGGATTTCATACTGTGTCCAGATAATCAGATCAGTTACCAGGCAGTAGTTCACCTCCGGGCTGCTGATCCTCCTCTGCTGGTACTCCCCAGGCAGGCCAGCCAAGCGGTACCTGTAGCAGAAAGGAATTCTGGATGATGGCAGGAAATTGCTCGAACCAGGGGTTGTGCAGTTAGAGGAACAAGAAAGATGCACAGCGACCCTGTAGGACGGAGTAAAACTGCCCAGTGGTTTCCAGGACTGTGGTCTTTCCAGAAGCTGCCTGCCACATCTGTCTCCCTCAGTGCTGATGGTGGATTAGAACTGCTGACCTTTTAGTCAGCAGTCAAGTGCTTTAACCACTGTACCACCAGTGATCCTTTTATCATAGCCCATGTTGTGTGTTGCCCAGTTGATTCCCACCCATAGCAACCCCATGTGACAGAGGTGCACTGTCCCAGAGGGTTTCCTTGGCTGAAATTTTTTCTTTTTTTTTTTACAACGAATATTAATTTTCTTATCCATATAATCCACCTGGGAACTTTCCCGTAAATGGAAACAAAGAAACGTTTTAATATTGTCTGTGCATCGATAGCTGAAAATGTGTACATTTTTTTTCATTCACATATGTAAGGGGAACTTCTCCATTCTTGAAAAAGAGAGTATATTAAAAATAAGTCTGTTCAGAGTTCCAGTTTATCAACGAAATAAATTATATATACTTTTTCTCATTCACATATTTTTGTTGTTGTTGTAAAACTGAAAACTTAGAATTACTGTTCATAAGTAGAAGCTGTACATGTTTTTGCTTCTGAAAACATTGTCTTAGAAATATTTTCAAGCTGGTTATACAAACAGCAGTTTGAAAATATGTAAGAGTCTCAACAATTCCTGTTGAGAGCTGGAAACAACTCTTTTTTTCTCACCCACACATACACTGGGATTAGGCTGAAATCTTCATAAGAGTCTATTACCAGGTATTTCTCCCACAGAGCTGGAGGGGGGTTCGAGCCTTGACCACTGCGCAACCAGGGTCCCCGGTCAGCCCTATGACTTCCAACTTCAATGACTGTTGTTAATTTCTGTCTAGTCGAACTGTGCTCTAGACGGTTTTCAATGACTCAGAAGTCGGTTGCCAGGCTTTTCTTCCAAGGTACTGCTGACTGGATTTGAACCTCCAACCTTTTGGCTAAAGAATTCAGTGCTTAGCTGTTTGAGCTACTCAGGGACTTGATTCAATGGTTAAACCAAAGTGTAATTTAATCTCACAAGGCTTCTGAGCCCTGAGCAAAATGGAATTCATGTTTCAACTATTTTATGGCTGAGGAAAAATGATAGCTTTGTAAATACAACTTTTCTAGGAAAGATAATGTCTTAGACCCAAACTTCCAGCCATAATTTTTATTGGGGTGTGGCTATAAATCACCTGGAGAAATGCTTTCCTCTTATAATTCTGAAATGTGGGAAAAAAGACACGAGACACCGAGGGAGCCTTTGACTCCCCGTCTACCTGGGAATCCTAGACCTGCCCCCAGTGCATCTTGAATCAGAATAAGCGGCTTTGATAAGTATTGTTGTTGTTATTAAGTGCTATCGAGTACGTTCCAACTTGTAGTGGCCCTGTAGAAGGTTGCCAAGGAGCAGCTGGTGGGTTTGATCCACCGACCTTGTGGTTACCAGCCCAGTGCTTATCTTACAGCACCACACCAGAAGTCCTAAAGTACTACTAGTAGAATGCTTCTGTAGTTAACTGCTGAGTTGGCTCTCAACTCATGGCAAACTTCTCCATAGGGTTCTCTTGGGTGTGATTGCCAGACCTTTCTTCTGTGGTACTGCTGGAATGTTCAAGGTACCCATCCTTGGGTTAGCAGCCCATCAAACTGTTGCTAGTATACTTGAGGTATAATTTACTTAGTATGTTGGTGTGTGTTATGTGCTGTCGAGTCTATTCCAACCCATAGCAAACCTATATAGCGTTTCCAAGGAACAGCTGGTGAGCTTGAACCACTGACCTTGCAGTTCAAACAACTTTGCAGTCTGACGCATTAGCCCACAGCGCCACACCAGGACTCCGTATACTAAGCATAAAATTGCATGTTAGAGGATCTAGAGAGCACACGTGTAATGCATTCGTTCATGAACAAAGTGCTGAAATTTAAAGTTGCATTCCTTACAAAGGCGATGCATTAATTGTGCACTTGTAGTTGTAAGGTGCCATTCGGTGGGTTCCAGCTCATAGCACAACTCCGTGTACACAGAATGAGACACTGCCCAGTTCTGTGCCATCCTCATTATCATTCCTCTGCCTGATGACCCCTTTGGAAGCCACCGGGTTACTCTATCTCTTTAGATGAATCTACCTTCTTAAGTTGAGCGTCTACTTTAACATGATACCCTTAAAAATCCAAACTGGAGATGGAATAATCTTACAGCACTATTTTAGTTGGCAATGTTTATAAAAGTAGCCCTTTTCTGGATCGGCACCCCTGAGCCATTTACGAAGTCCTCCCCCTCCCATTTCCTCACCTCAGCAACTTCCAAAAGCATCTCACACCTATCCAGGGGTAGGCCCTTGCCCAGGGAAAATGCCGCTGTGTGCTATGTGCAAAAGGGAAAAGATCTACGTGTGATGACAAACCGAGCAGCAGCAGGAAGTCAGCTCAACCTGTAAGGCACGAGGGGGCTCCAAGTTCTGTCCCTGGGGCCCTGCACATCCCAGAGTAGTTAACCATGCTGGCCAACAGGAACAAAGCTCCTTAGCACCAAGCAAGGTAGGGCCTGAAATTCGAACCTTAGGCATCAATAAGGCTACTACTTTTGTGGGGGGAAAACCCAGCCAGACCTGTAGGCTTATTAATGTAGAACGGCTTCCCAAAGACAATAATGGCTAAGGAAGCAGTAAGGGGGCATAGTCCCAAAGCTTCTTCATGAAAATCGGGATTTTCTGAGACTTCTCTTTATCCCCACTCCTTACAGAATGCTGGACAGAGAGAATAAATGACAAAGATCAGTAGCTCTGGGACAACAAGGCAGTGGGGGTGGGGACTCCTCAGGCCTGCCACTGGCACAGAGCCCAGACCAGCAGGGGAGGCAGCAAGGGAAGTGCTGTTTTTCCATGCTGGGCATAAATGGAAGCGCTGTGGGATCATTTATCAAGTCACACTTTGGTTCCCTATCCATCAACTTCTGATACCAACTCTCAGCAGTCTGTTCCTGAGCTACCTGTAGCCAGCCAGGGTGCGAAGTTCATTTATATGACAAGATGGCCCTCCAGGCAATGGTTGCTGGGAGGGAGGCTTGGCATGGTGTATTGCTGCTGCTGTGTGCTATGGAGTCAATTCCAACTCATAGCAAGTCTGCAGGACAGAGAACTGCCCTGTAGGGTTTCCAAAGTGATTATTTTCAGGAGAGCAGAACACCAGGTCTTTCTTCTGCGGAACCATTATGTGGGTTCCAACCACCAGCTTTTTGATTAACAGCCAAGTGCTAAAGTGTTGTACCACCAGGGCTCTTTAGCTTGGTATGGGATATAGGATACAGTACATGTGGAAGGCATTCCCACTGGGATTCCCCATCTCCAGGCAAAGGACTTAAATGGAACAGAGACAGCTGAAGAGCCATCAGGGAAAAGGAAAGCATGAGCTCAGTGCTCCCTCAGAGATCCCGGGCTAAATGACCCCGTGAGCACAGTCCACAAAGGCCCAACTGACAGTGGCTACTGCAATGGGCTGAAACGTCACAATGGTGAGGATGGCTCAGGAACCAGCTGTTCTTTCTTCTTTTGTATATGGCGTCGCTCTGGGTCAGAACCCACTGGACGGTACCTAGCAACAACAGCCAATCTACAGTGTACAATGTCACCTGTCCTCCACCACGTCAAAGGTGCACTGAAACTCACATGAAATTGCTCACCGAAGATTAGCAAATCAACACACTTAAGGCTGTGTATCATGTAAGCAGGCACCATATTGACTGGTCAAGTTGCACCTGCCCAAGACACCAGAGTACCTGACAGGTAGGTGGTACCTAGGACTATTTACAAGAGTTCATCCTCTTAAGAAGAACTCACTCACGGGGGCCCATCACCATATACATTTGCTCCTGGGAAAAGTGCAAAACTCAGCATCAGAAGACTTAAGACTTGCATCCTGCTCAGCTACTTGTAGTCTCAGGCAAATTCTCACGTTCTGTGAGCCTTGATTTCGATCCAGTCAACACTCATGAAAGATGGAAGTAGCAGTCAAAGAAATTAAATGATGTACTCCATTGGACAAATCTGCTGCAAAAGACCTCTTTAAGGTGTTAAGAAGCAAAGATGCCACTTTGAGAACTAAGGTGCATCTGACTCAAGCCAGGGTCTTTTCAACTATGCACATTCAAGTTGGACAATGCAAAAAGATAAGAGAAAAAGAATGGATGCAGTAAGTAGTGGTGTTGGCAAAAAACACTGAACATATCATGCAGTTTCAGAAGAACACACGAATCTGTTCCAGAAGATAGCAACCAGAATGGCAAGGATGGCAAGACTTCGACTCATGTACTCTGGAGACACCATGGTCACTATGAGTTGGGGTTGACGCAGTGTAACTGCCAATACCACCAATGAAATGAGGACGGTAATAGTGGCGTTCCACGGGGCTGTGGCAGAAGGAAATGAAACAGCGCACGTGGGAGAGCTGTAATAATATGCAGCAACCTGAAAGATTCTGTTTTTGGACAACCATGTTTTTCTACTACAACATAGGTAGGAGATCACTCTGGGTTGTAAACCCACCCAGGCTACAGAGCCGAAGCAAGAGGGTAATTCATCTCTTGGGAACAGGCAGGTAGCTAGGCTCCTCCTTTCTCGCTGCTCAGTGTGCTTTTGTAACCATTGTTGTTGTTGTTGTTGTGAAGTGCTGTCAAGTCAGTTCTGACCCATAGTGACCCTGTAATAGGGTTTCCAAGGAGCAGCTGGTGAGCTTGAACTGCCGACCTTGCAGTTCAAACGGCTTTGCAGTCTGGTGCATTAACCCACGGTGCCACACCAGGAGTCCTTAAGATGTCTTACAAAGGCCTCAGCAGAGCCAGGCAATTGTTTCCTCACTGGTGGAATAAGCTGCCCGGAAGATCATCTTGGCCAACACATGATGATTTTTTACATGGAAATCATCAGGAGGATGTTTTTAAAGGACACAACTCCTCTGCTCTTCTCAAAGAAACACCCTAGCCATTGCTATAAATATTTGATTACTGTGCACGCATCTGGACTACTTCTTAGGGCCAGAGTTACACGGGTGATTCATTTTCATTTTGTGATTCTTACGAACAGACTGCTGGAGCTCAACTGGCTCATACCCCTGAGGATACACATTCGCAAACACAGCTCAGATTTGTAGACCCCAGGGTGATTCGCAGATGTTTCCTAGCATATCCATAAGAGCACAGGGCCTTCATTTCTGGATACTTTGATACTCACAGGCCTTGGAGTAGTGCACCCTCATTTCAGAGCTTGATGGATTTAAGCCCCTAAAATACAGCTGCCCTCAGTTGCCAGCACTCAAGTCCACTGACACCATCCCCGTAAAATCCTTTTAATGGTCATAAACCTGCAAAATAGAACCACGTGGCCGGGTATCATCAGAAAGGTTTATTATGACTCTCTGTGCCCGGAGCTGACTTTTAAAGCCTGGTTTGACAGCTTAGCCTGGGAAAACTTTCCCTCCACGAGTTGGAAAGAGGCAGTTGGCAGCAGGGGCGCAGAGGGCTGTTAGCAGGGGCCTGGGCGGTTGATGACAATCTTGAAAAGCAGAAAACAAAAAGTCATATCAGCTAAGACTGCAGCAAGGAGCAACAGGTACAGATCCGCAGGAAAAGCCCGGCTTGGAGCAGTAGGAAGCATGAGGCTGTTCTCGGGACGGAAGGACACTCAGGCCACTGACCATCCTGGGAATTATTTCTGAAACTTCTTCAGTGACTCAGGTACTAGAGCTTGCATACATGCTCATGGGCTAGGCTTCCCATATTTTGATCACCTTTCTTTGAAACAAGGAAGGACACTTAGGGGTGGGGAGACAAAAGAGGGTTGCGCATGCTAATTCCAGACTTCCTGAAACCCATGAATGGCATTGGAACCACTTAGGGAGGGCAGGGAATTGAGGGTAGGGAATTGGGGGTGATGGACACATGAACAGATAAAAAAAAACACCTGAGGAGCAAATGATGGTTGGTGTCTGGCGCTGTGGAGCCGATTCTGACCCTTCATGGCCCCATGTAACAGAGTAGAACTGCCCCATAGCGTTTCCTAGGCTGTAAGTCTTTGTGGAGCAGATCGCCAGGACTTTCTTCCAGGGAGCCAGCAGGTGGGTTCAAACTGCAGACCTCCGGTTAGCAGCTGAGCACTTCACTGTTGTGCCACAAACACACTAATAACTCAAACAAAAGCCAAACCCAGTCACGGAGTCCATTCTGATTCACAGCAACTTTACAGGACAGGGTAGAACTGCCCCCCGTGTGGTTTCTAAGATTCTAGATCTTTACAGAAGCAGACTGCCTCGTTGTTCTCCCTCAGAGTGACTGGTGGGTTTCAACTGCCAACCTTGCAGTTGGCAGCCCAATGCTTCACCCACTGCATCACCAGGGATTTATATATATATAAAACGAGCTCTGGTAGTATAGTGGTTATGAATCAGGCTGTGAACCACAAGGTCAGCAGTTCGAAACTACCAGTTGTTCCGCGGGAGAAAGATGAGGCTTTCTGCCCCTGTAAAGATTCACAGCCTCGGAAACCCTGTACAGGGTTGCTATGAGTCAGAACCAACTCTAAGGCACATAACAACATTACATATATATATATATATGTTGTTGCTGTTGAGTGCCATTGAGTTGGTTCTGACTTACAGTGACCCTATATAGGGTTTCCAAGGAGTGGCTGGTGGATTTGAACCGCAAGGTTCAGTGTTTGTGGTCTAGTGTTTATCCCACAGTGTCACACCAGGACTCCATAAGTATATATTTTACTACAATTAAAAATTGAGTTCGCTTGTGCATTAGGATGCCTTCCATCAGGACAAACTACATCGTGATCCTTGAATTCTGCAAGATTGTTTTCCTTTGATGTCTCACAACAACAAACCCTCCACAGTCATCACAGCTGTGGCCAGTTTAAAATCAGCAGTTTCCTCCTCCCAAGTACAACTGCATTGTCTGGGGGTTGTTTTCTTGACCTTCACCAAAGCCTGCCCCACCCCAGTCCCCATGTGGCAGGGAGGTAACACACTGATACCCCTCCACCTTCCCCCAGGACCACACCTGGCCTACAGATGCCAGTGTCAGATCTGCCTTGCCTCTGTTTCAGAATGGACTGGAATGGTGAGATTATTTTATGTGAAAAATGTACATTTTTTGATCTCCTTGGAAACTGGAGAAGAGTTGGCGATACAGAGCAGCATTCTAGTATAGTAACAGCTGAATAACAATACATACAATCCGATCCCTGTGAAGTTAAAGACACCGGTTCTTTTAATCAAAGGAGCCCTGGTGGTGCAGTGATTAAGCACTGGGGTGGTAACCTAAAGGTTGCAGTTCGAGCACACTGGTGGTCTGCTCCCATACAGATTAAAAACCCTAACCAGACCCATTGCCGCTGAGTCGATTCCTGTAGGGACAGTGTAGAACTGCCCCATAGAATTTCTGAGGTGGTCAATCTTTATGGAAGACAGCATCATCTTTCTCCTGCAGAGCGGCTGGTGGGTTTAAACCTCCGGCCTTTCCCTTAGCAGTCTAACTCTTAATCCACGGCACCACTAGGGCTCCAGCTACACAGATGACAAAGCCCTATGGGGCAGTTCTATTCTTCCTATAGGGTCGTGGTGAATTGGAATCTTGATTCCATGGCACACAACAACAGCATACTGAATAATGGAGTCTCTGGGTGCTGCTAACTGAAAGGTTAGAAGTTCAAGCCCACCCAGAGGTACCTCGGAAAAAAGGCCTGGTGATCTACTTGTGAAAAATCAGCCACTGGAAGATCATTAGAGTGCAGTTCGACTGTGACACACATGGGGGCGCCATGAGTCAGAGAGGATGCCATAGCACTGGCTGTCCTTAGTAAAATCTATGAGAACCAGAGCTCAACAAGACTGCCTTGTTTTTCCAACTCTTGCAAAATTTCCACCTTTGACATGGTGTGGTCTTACGGTTTTCCTATTGTGTGTTTCAGTGGAAAACATTTGAGTGTTCCTTCTGTGGCAGGTTGTAAACTTTTCAGGCGTTACTATACATGTTCCCAGTAAGGACTGGAATAGAGTGGAAATATTTATAATGAAGATCCAGACACGCCTCACACCCATTCTCCTGCTAAAACATCTCTCCTGAGACGAGCTCTCTCTCTCTCTCTCTCTCTCAAAAACACACACACACACACACTGGATGGTTAAATGTGGCTTCAGTTGGCCCTAGTCTCCACCACTCCCTAAAGCCCTGTGCCTGGTCGGATACCCACAAAGACTTGACACATTTGAGTGTGTACCCTCAGTGAATGAAATGCGTAGATCATGGGCTCTTTGTGACAACCATCTATCTACAAGTGTCTGATCCCACGTGACTTGCCTGAGGATGTACCCATGTAGGACTCCATTATGCTCCGTCTCCGGGGGTGGCTGCCACTGGACCATGATGGACTGGTTGGTACGCCCACTGGCCACTATATTTTTCGGAGGAGCACTGGGTGGTTCTTCTGGTAACATCAACCTAGAAAGACAAGATGGGCAGGATTTGAGAAAGAGAAAACAATGCCAAGAACAATGGACCACCCCCACCCATCAGCATTCTCAAAGTGGTCGGATACTGAGCCTTGGATTGGGGAACAATGGACCACCCCCACCCATCAGCATTCTCAAAGTGGTCGGATACTGAGCCTTGGATTGGGGAACAAGAACAGCAAAGCACGCAGCTGCTCTATGCGAAAGGATGTGTGTGGAATGCTTAACATGTAGACAGAACATCAGGTCAGTTAAACAAGCAACGGGGACCATGTGGGAGGTGGCAAACTCTACCTCGGTGAGCCACAACACCCCACTCCCTAGCAAGACAATAAACCCAGGAGAACCAGCTCTCGGCAGGGTCCACCCTCTGCAACTCAGTCCAGACTGTTTTCTTCAGTTATTTCAGTAAGTTCCCTATCCACCTCCCAGTTTGAAGAGAAGCCATTTGGAGTTCAGTGTCTGCAATGCAAGCCTGAGGACAGTACAGGTGGGTCGGGGAGGGCACAGTGCAATGTGATCAAGTCATAGAAGCTGAGCAGCTCTCCCGGGGACAGGGAAGGGTGAGCGGAAACGCTGAACTTCTGGAGGGAAACGTACACGCTCAAATCCCTGACATGTTTAGCTCCTCTTATAACACCCTGCGTGGTGTTAGCTTGTAGAGACAGTGGCACTGTCTTCCGCCTGCTGGCAGGTGGGCTAGATAAAGGGCAGGGGAATGTGTCAGCTCTTCATTTTCAGTTCACTGAAGGCTATGCTGTGGAAGACAATTCATGTAGGCACAGTCAGAGCACCGCAGGAGAAATTGAAGCACTTCCCTCAGCACAATTATGGAAAACCCAGCTGGGCCAGCCTCAACCTGCACTTCCCATCGTTCTCATGGCCTCTGCTGCTCAGCTTTTTGCCGGCTGATGGCGCGGACCCATTTCCTCCACTGAATAAACGTTTTACTTTCAGACCCAGGATATACCTCACAGACACACCCACAGTACCTGCTTGTCTCCACACTGTATTGGCCCTTGCCCACTTGGTTCACTGCGCACACCCGGAACTGGTAGGTGCGTGCGGGGGTCAGGCCACTCACGGTGACCCCTGTCATCTCAGGGCTAACATTCGACAGGTGGACTTTCCACGGTGAGTCTAAGGAAATAAACAAAACAAATCCAAACCTGCATTAAGTCCATAGCAAAACAGTGAGATGTGACAACAAGGTGCCTTCTCTGCAATTTCAGATTGGCACAAAATCCAGATTTTCTGGATTCATGGAAGCTTTTTATGAAGATCCAAAATGATTACAATACGATCGTCTTTAAAGCTTAATCCAAAAACAGCACTGTGTTAAGCATTGTCCTGTGATTTGAACTCATCAGATGCTCTTTGGGAGAAAGATGGGGCAGTCTACCTTTTGTATATATTTATAGTCTCGAAAACCTCACGGGGTATTTCTACTCTATCCCACAGGGTCGCTGTGAGATGGAATCGACTGCAGTGTTTTTGGGTTTATCTACATGGGATCCAATTAATGACAGTAACGCAAAAGGTCAGATAAGGAAACTTAGGGGATAGTGAGTTTTTGTCCACAGGGGAGGGACCCCTCCAAAAGGGAGGGTAAGAATGGTTGTATAGTTCTGTGCCACAAAACTGCATATTCTCAACAGCAGTAAAAAATAAGTTTTTTGTTTTTAAAGATATGTTCTCATCAATTATCTCATTGGCTCACCAAGACAACTCCAGGAAGTTCAAGGGATGGGGTGTTGACCTTATTCAACCAATGTGGAAACTGATGCTCCCACGGTGCCCTGCCCCCATCCACTCCCCCACACTGCCACCAACCAGTGAGGCAATTATTTTGTTCAGCTCCCACATGGTGCCTTCAACAGAACCAAACTATTCCAAATTCCTTCGTTTACTGTGTAAAGAGGGAGAGACTTCTCCGAGCAGGCAAATTACATATCTGTCTCCCAGAAAGGGAATGCTGTGCATGCTGCTGACTGATAAATAAAAACTATATTCATTAACATTTTAATACAAGAGGAAATGAGCTTGGTGAGGCAGATGGGTTGTACGTTCCACAGCCCATCTGTTTGGCAGTGCATAGCACACCACGCCTGTCAGTGGCTCTGGCTACAGAGGGTGGGTTCCAGGGTCACAGCCGATTAGAATCCTGCTCCCTGCACCCAGCTTCCCAGCAGGTGTGGAGGAATGAGTGCCCATCAGCCAAATCCACTCTTTTCTGCAGAACTTCAGAAGATTGTGCTGGGGACCCTGCATCTTGGTGCCATGGTTTTTGCTTTGTTTGCTTTTTTCAGAGTTTGAACATGTGCTGCAGTTGGATCATTTCTACAAAGGTCTCCTCTGAAAGAACAAGACTTGGTGGTCAAGTCCCGCCTCCATGGCCAGCTCACATTCCACATCACCATGGCACCTGGACCGCATCTTCCAGTTCTTAGTAAGAAATGGGAGGTCTTGTGGAAATCAAGTCTTCTTTCACCTTCCTGTGCTGAAATTCTTTTTACCCACTCCTGAGAGGGTCAGAAAGAGGTGATTTCCAGCACGGTGTTGGGCTGTGTTTGGAGGGCACACTCAGACATTAGGCGATACTATCAGTATTGACCACACACTAGACACAACCACTTTTCCAAATGAAACGAACCATGGGCTATGCTAGGGAACTCATCAGAAATGAACCCCAGTTCCCCACAGTCATGACAAGTAGCCACATGCTGCCTTGACTGAAAACAAGACCCCAGAAGAGGCCACAAACTGAGATGTCCAGATGTGTTAGCTGGATTCTGTATCAAAACAGAAAGCTCCTCCGAGGCATGGTGCTCACTGGTCTCCCAAAACCGTATTGTTGAGTAGTTCGCACAAAGCTGCTCCCAGTCAGGCTTTTTGTGTGTGTTGTCTACACAACAGCTAGGCATGTCTGTATTCTGGGCTTTTTGTGTTTGATGACATGTATAATCCATACACTATTTGGATAAGGGTCCTGCCCTTTTTTGTGTTCCCTTTCAGAAAAATATGTCTGAATCCCCAATGAACAAAAGGGAAAAAAATTCACACCAACTTCCCATTTTATTCTGGGAGTCAACATCCCTTCTACAAGCATCAGACAGTTTTTGGTGGACTGGCTTCCTAAACAGACCCCCTGACAGAAAAATGGTCTCTGTCAATATAGGGGAGAAACATCCCTCCTGGCATTAGCATAATGTGAGTTTGGTTGTTGGGGACCAGGGTTTTTCCATGCTATGTCAAGCTTCAACAGAAAGATAGTTTTAATTCTAAAAACAACTGGTATATAACAGACAAAGTATGTACTCCAAGAGTTGACACTCAGCATCTCTCCTGACAGCTGTTTGATTTTGAGCTTCACCTGTAAGCACAGGGGCTGTGAGACAAAAATTCCCAAGACTGGCGAGGGTATGAACGAAGATGTTATAAACTGAATGCATTTAGCTGAAAGCCTGGCCCACAGAGGACACATGCTCCGGGCATATAGTTTTACTCCTGAACTTTCAACCTGCTCTGGGTCCTGGAGTACCTATGAGGGGGACTTCAAAAAGTTCATGGTAAAATTACATAATCTTTCGATTCCAGTTTTACACGAACTTTTTGAACTCGGATGTGGGCTCCTTGTAGTCTGGCTTTTTTCCTGGAAGGGCAAAGGAAGAGAGGAAAGTGAAGCCAGCATTCTTACTCATCGGGAATAGCATCTGACTAGGAAGGTAAGCTACTAAGGTTCCACGTCATACATACAGGGTTTGATCCCAAACACATTGTGTGTAAACATGTCTCTGTGACTAGTGGATGACTCTAGGTAAGTTCTCTCAGGTATGCACTTGTCTTAGTCTCATTGCTGTTGTTGTTGTTAGGTGCCATCCAGTCAGTACTGACTCATAGCAACCTTATGCACAACAGAACGAAACACTGCCTGGTCCTGGGCCAACCTCACAGTCGTTGCCACACTTGAGCCCATCGATGCTGCGACTTTACCAATACATTTTGCTGGGGGTCTTCTTCTTTTTCTCTGACCCTTCACCTTATCAAACATGATATCCTTCTCCAGTAACTGGTCCCTCCTGACAATATGTCCAAAGTATGAGAGATGAAGTTTGGTCATCCTGACCTCCAAGGAGCACTCTGGCTGCATTTCTTCCAATGCAGATCTATTTGTTCTTTTGGCAGCTCATGGCATTTTCAATATTCTCCTCCAACACCGTAATTCAAATGCATCAATTTTTCTATGGTCTTCCTTATTCACTGTCCAGCTTTCACATGCATATGAGGTTATTGAAAATACCATGGCTTAGTCCTCAAATTGACATCTCTGTTCTTAAACACATTAAATAGTTCTTGTGCTGCAGATTTGGCTAATGCAATATGTCATTTAATTTTTTGACTACTGCTTCCGTGAGTGTTGATAGTTGATTTAAGAAGAATGAAGTCCTTGACAACTTCAATCTTTTCTCCCCATTGATAAGAATGTTGTTTATTGGTCCAGTGGTGAGGATTTTTGTTTTCTTTACATTGAGATGCAATCCATACTGAGGGCTGTGCTCTTTGATCTTCATCGGTAAGTATTTAAAGTCCTCTTCACTTTCAGTAAGCAAGTTTGTATCATCTGCATATTGCATGTTGTTAATGAGCTTTCTTCCAATCCTGATGACACATTTTCCTTCATATAACCCAGCATCTCAGATTATTTGCTCAGCATACAGATTGAATAAGTATGGTGAAAGAATACAACCCTGCTACACGCCTTTCTTAATTTTAAACCATTCAGTATTACCACTTTCTGTTTGAAAAGCTGCCTCTTGGTCCATGTATAGATTCCTCATGAGCACAGTTAAGTGTTCCAGAATACTCATACTTCACAATGTTGTCCATAGTTTGTCATGATCCACACAATCGAAAGTCTTTGTGTAGTCAATACAGCACAGGTAAACATCTTTCTGATATTCTCTGCTTTTAGCCAAGATCCATCTGACGTCAGCAATGATATCTCTCATTCCACATCCTCTTCTGAATCTGGCTTGAACCTCTGGAAGATCTCTGTCAATGTATGCTTGCAGCTGTTGTTTCTGGGGAAATCAGAGATACTGTCTGATGATTTCCGCATTCCATTGGGTCACCTCTCTTTGGAATGGGCACAAATACGGATCTCTTCCAATCGGTTGGCCAGATAGTTGTCTTCGAAATTTCTTGGCAGAGATGAATGAATGCCTCCAGTGCCACCTCACTTTCTTAAAAGATTTCAATTTTTATTCCATCAATTCCTGGTACCTTATTCTTTGCCAATTCCTTCAATGCACTTCGGGCTCCTTCCTTCATGTATCATTGGCTCTTGATTGTATGCTACCTCTTGAAATGGTTTAACATCAACCATTTCCTTTTGGTACAGTGACTCTGTGTATTCCTTCCATCTTTTCTTGATGCTTTCTGCATCATTCAATAATTTGCCCAGAGACTCCTTCAGTAACAACAGTCGAGGCTTGAATTTTTCCTTCAGTTCCCCCAGCTTGAGAAATGCTGAGCTTGTTCTTCCCTTTTGGTTTTCTGACTCCAGATCTGTGCACATTTAATTGTAATATTTGACTTTGTCTTATCGAGCTGACCTTTGAAATTTTTTGTTCAGGTCTTGTACCTCTTCATTTCTTCCATTTGCTTTAGCATCTCTATGCTGGAGAGCAAGTGTCAGTGTCTCTTCTGACATCCATTTTGACCTTTTCCTTCTTTCTTGTCTTCTTAATGACTTTTTGCTTTCTTCACGTATGATGTTCTTGATGTCATTCCACAACTCTTCTGGTCTTCAGTCTTTTGTTTAATGTATCAAACCTATTCTTCAGATCATCTCTAAATTCAGGTAGGATATATTCAAGGTCATATTTTGGCTTTCCTGGATTGTTTTTATTTTCTTCAGCTTCAGTGTGAATTTGCATATGAACCATAATGGTCTGCCCCACAATCTGCCCCTGGCCTTGTTTTAGCTGATGATATGGAGCTTTTCCACCTTCTCTTTCCACAGATGTAGTCAATTTGATTTCTGTGTATTCTATCTAGTGAGGTCCATGTGTATATTGTCTCTTTTGCTGTCTAAAGAAGGTATTTGAAATGAACAAATTATTTGGTTTTGCAGAATT